CTGTTGCTTTTTCCAAAATGTTCACTCGCGCTCAGCTTCTGCCGACAGCGGGTCCAGTCTGCGGTGAAAAAGGGGGCAGCCACACCAAGGAGCACCAGGTCGGCTCCAGGCCCTCTTGCAATTTGTCCAGCAGCCCAGGCAGATGATGATGGAGTGGGAAGCATTCATCCCCGACCCACCTCCAGTGCCGGAGGAGGCAGTGGTTGAAGCCAGGGCTTACTATAGTACTTACAGCATGCGGAAAGGTATTGTCGCCGTGCTATGATGCTAATTTCCAGAGGGTATGGGACAGCAATCCGACTGAATCTTCGTCCTCTGATTGCTTCGCTTCTGGTTGTTGACCTTTGCACCATGTGCCCAACCATTCAGAAGCACACAAGAAGAAGCTCTCCTCAGCTCCTTGTGCCCACTTCGCAGTTTGAAGTGCTTGAGATCCGCGCGGAAGAATTCCTTGTTGCGCGGGACTCAGTGCCTATCAAGTATTGATGTGACCGCAAGGGCAGGGAACATCAGTAGATGTTCGGGTGTTAGGCGGTCGTGGTTGAGCCGGCGTTTGGTAGTGACTCAGACGGAAGCACCTGTCTGCAACCACCCCAGAGAGGAGGTGCCGGACTTGAATCTCACGGGAGCTGTAGTGTAGCCTGTAAAGGGCTGTCGGTTCATATGCCGCCCAGGCGCTGGACGATGGCACCGTGGCCTCCATCACCGAGGACTCCTGAGCTCAATGGGTGCAGTGGTCAGAAGCGGGGTGCCAGGTTTGGTTTCAGTGGAGGATTCCTTCCCCCCTGCATTTTCAGGAGCAACTGCCTTCCTTGCAGGAAATGCCGGCGACCAAGTTTCTGGCTTGGGGAGCAGTTCTTGCTCCCCCCCCCCCGTCCCCTTCCTGAGAAGCCGGACATCGTTCCTCCCAGCCTGAGGCTCCATGGTTTGTTTTGCTCGCAAGGTTTGCCGCAGAGAAGGAGGAGGGCATGAAGCTGATCGGCAAGCCTGTCTCGGTCCCGCCGCCTGAAGGCCCAAGATCCCTCACTTTCCCTGCAATCCCCTAACTTCCATCGTAGCGTAAATGCCCACTATGCTGGAACGTAGCTTGTAGTAGTGGCTCTATGAACGGTACCCTTTAAGGAGTCCTGGTTGTGCTTCAGCGACACCCTGAGAATTGAAGACTTACCCAGGCCATGTCCTTTTCGAAGTTCAGTCATGCGGTGTCTGGGGCTTCGGCAGCATTTGCAGCCAGTTCCCAAGCGAACCAGACTTGGGATGCGGGTGTAGCGTGAGTGCCACGAGCACGAGCTCACGCAGGGACATCGAAACGTGTGGTCATTCCAAACCCGGCTTTCGACCAAAAGAACAGCTTGGCAGGTGAAGAGGGCGAGCCGAAGATCGTTCTGGAAAGCTTCAGGATCGGAGTACCGGGAGAAGCACCACCGGGAGAGGCGGTGGACACAGGCGCATCAGTCCCCGAACCCTTGGACATCGGCTGGCAAAGACCAGCATGTAGAATCTGAGGGAAGGATCAGGGCTTGAGTCTTGTTCTCAAGTAGCAGGACGCGGCACCTGTTAGCAGTCGTAGCGCAACCCAGAGTCGTTTTACCATGCGATGAACCCCGAAGCGGCCCTGGGATTCCTCCGCGAAGGTGTGACGGAAGGCGGCGAGGCGGCGTAGTGAAAAACAGGACCACAGCGTTTTTTTCTGTCCCCGTGCTGCGGACGAATTTCGATGCCTCAACAGCCAAGCCTTCCCCACAGCCGGATTGCAGGACGGTGCTTGAGAGGTCAAGCACGGGTTCACCGCTCTCGCAAGCTCAGCCGGATGAAGGACACCGCGGCGGAGTGCATGTACTGATCGCCTTACGACGAGGGTCACTGTCACGTCTTGACCGGACTGAACCACCCTTGACCAGGCCATCCCAGCTGAACGCGGCGCAGGGCATGCCAATGAGGCGCGCTGGTGGTCCGAAGTATTTCGGTTGTATCCTCACTGGAGCAGATGGCATGTGTCTTGCAGGCTTCTGGGACGCTTCCAAGAAGCGGGTGTTGCTTTGGGCCACTCAGAGATGCCGAGAGAGGAAGACACACTGTCTTTATAGCTTGGCGCAGATGGGAGACTTGACAGTGTCACATGCCTTGCTCTTGTGTGCATAACTGTTTCCAGAGGGCCTCATGTATTGACCTGCCGACGTTGAACCTGCAAGACATCGTTGCCCCCTTTACTTTCGTGCAGGCTTGAACGGGTAGTCTAGAGCTAAGCCGTCAGAGACTGACATGTGGCTTTCTGATGCCTTCTAGGACCAAAAGCCATAGCGACAGATCGGCCTCTTTGTGTTCCAACTGTATGTCGCCAGCCTCGTCTAAGTGCCCTGACAGAGAACCTAACCATTGTAGAGCCGATGGGCTCCGGCATGGGCCAAGCTTAGACGAGACTGCACAATCGTGTGGTGCCTCTCAGCAGCTTCAGTTGCTGGCAGCTAGGTGCGGCTTCACGAAGAGAGTCATCAGGGCAATGCAGGTTGATCAGACGGGCGTTCCACGGCCAGCATATCACAAGCCTGAGGTTTCAAGCTTGCTTCTGATGGAACAGTGTTGCAGGAGCAGACACGGCAATAAGCTGGATAAACTTGTCTTTCAAAGGTAGCTTGGGGGCGCACCGAAAATGGAATCTGTACGCGCTGGTCGCAAGATGCGAAACCGGCCAAACAGACCTCAAGCTGCGGTCTCACCGAATTTGAGCTCAGCGATGTCGAGTCCGCCCGAGACTCCTGTCTAGAAGTCGGAGCATCCTTACTTTAGAGGTCTTCAAATGAGTGGATTGAATCATGCCGGCCGTGGAGGAGCTGGACATGTGGCAAAGACGCGAGGGATATTGCAGACTTGCGTGCTCAGTCATGCTGCGGGCTCTCGGCGTCTTGGCTCAGTGCTGAGATGTGCATTGCTGCTTTAACTTCGCCGTGCAAAAGGCTGTCACTTTCGTGTTCACCTGAGCTGCTGTTGGCAAACTGGTGCTGCAGAGGAGCTGTTGGGCTTTGGGATCCTTGAGAAAATAAGCTTACCTCTAGTGTCTTCTAGTGCAGATGGTCCTGCATCCTGCACAGTGGGTGTCTAGGCTTCAGGCCCGATGCGAGAAGCGACGGCTAGTGTTGAAGCTACGTATCCCTCAGATCCGCCTATCCGGGTTTTCAGCTGCGACTCGACTCTGCAGGCAGGACTTTTAGCATGAGGTAGAGATTCCGATCCGATGTCCTGATGCTTCCGTTCCTGCCTTACGGTCTGCCGTCTCGGCTCCAGCAGAACAAATCCATAAATCCCTGCACAGCGCTTCTGAGATCAGGAAGGCGGGTCCGAGACACGTCCGCACGCCGTGAGCGCTTTTTTGTTATTGCCTCTTTGCTTGGTGGAGCTCTCCAAGACTGCTGCAGGGATGCCGGGTGGTTTTGGGTCCTTGGAAGAGATGCGGAAGAAGGACCGACTCGAAGGTATCTGTGTTCTTGATGCGTACCCCTTGTTCGAAAGGAGGAGGAGGACAAGAAAAACACCAACAGCTACGTGGGTGGAGATAAGAGGCTGCGGTATGCCACAGTGTCAAAGTGTCAACGGCAGTGTAGCTTGAGGACGGAAGAGAGCGTTCAGTAGCCTCTCCCCATCAGAGACTCAGAACCCAGCGGCGGAAAAGGGATAAAGGGATGAACAAGAATTGCAGCTTCTGGCCCAGTGGCTTGGCGGTGGAGCACCCGGACTCGAACAAAGACCACTTCCAGCGCTCCTCGCCCTCAGTGAGATCTCCCCTTCCTTCCTTGCAGTTTTCCAGAAGAGACGACTTCGACTGTCCGAGGCATGCAGCAGCTCGCATCGAGCAGCGGCCAATCAGGTGCGAAACATTTTAAGGAATCGCTAATCGCAACTCTCTGCTGGCGTCCAGCCTCCATATTACCATCTCTCACGGTTTTGTATGCATGCAGCCCATAGAGCCACAGAATGCCACAGAGTGCGAGGCTCAACATAGAATTAGAAGCATTGAAAGGCCCGCTCCCTTCGGATCATCGAGAAGTCACGGTCTACCGCAATGGCTTCACAGCCATGAGCTCAGCTCTTGCACTTGAGAAGAAGCTCTGTCGGGGTCTGTCGACATAAGGCTTTCACTGGGGAGCTGACATCTTCTTCAGGCTTCTTCTACGTGATTCCAAGGTGGGAGATGGACCTTTCCGACCACTTTCCGACCCGCTGAACAAGAAGTTCATGGAGCGGCAGCTGGGTCAGTGCTTGAGTTTGGGTTGTTTCACTTTTGGGTGAGCTCCGAAATCCTTAAGCCCCTGAGCTGCAAGCTTCGCAAGACCCTTCTGAGCTCTTGCAGAGTGCAAAGACGACAAGCTGCAAGACAGGATGAGATGGCTGCAGGGCGCTGCCCCGCCGAACTGCAGGCAACGGAGAGGAGTTGTAGTGTGGGACAGGCTCGCCCTAGCCCACTAGGGCGAGTGCGAGAGCTGCGTGGAATCGCAGAAATCATGTTGCTGTGCAATGTCGCAACCTGCCCTTCTGAGTTTGACAAAGTGCAACGTCTTGGTTCCTACGAGATATGCAACCTCTACGATTCCTCAGGACAATGTGCTCCACATAAGCGGCACAGAGATCCAGTACGAAAAATGCCACGGAGCTCCGTGTCTCCGTCTCCCAGAAGCCGCCACCACCGCCCTGCAGGCAGGCTCAGACCAACCAGTGCACGTCGCTGTGCACGACAAGCGCGGAGAGGATTACAAGGAGACTTTTGTTGAAGACTTCTCACATCATTAAAGATCCTTTCTTGCGTCCTGGAAGCCAGAGAAGGTGTGAATGGTGGAAGTTGCCCGCAACGCACAGGAGCCCCCTCCTCCCTCCTACGTCGCATTCTCCGGTGAGGCAGCATAGAATGAGAGGGAAGCAATATACACAATTGTGTTGATGACTGACTGACGAGCACTCGGGATTTACATGTCGCGAGCTGCTGCACATTCGGCAGAGTATCTGCATAAGACTCCAATTCTGGCATTATTTGCTGGTGCTCACCCCCGGCTGCGGAGGGCAACACCTTGGGTGGCAGTTCATCATCGGCAGCTGCCGTCGAGGCACGTGACCCAAGAGTGCTAAGACTGGCAGCCTGGTGCAGTCAGTTGTTGCCTTTGGCTTCCTCTTCTCATCCTGTAAAGGCGTACTGTAAGGGTTGCGAAGGCCATACTTTTCCAACACGTGGCAACATGCCTCCGTGCGCAGCCCATGATACAACATTTCACAAGCTCACAATCATCTGTTTACCGATGGATGGTCGTCTCAGGCAGACAAGGGGTCCATGACAGCAGGCGACTCAGCACTCAGATAAGTGCTTGATGAGCCAGGCAGGTAGCTTGTCGGTAATCATGCGGGGCGATGCACGGGAGATGAGCATACCGGGCCGACTCTGCTGTGCATGCTCAGAAAAAGATTGCTCGCCGCAGCTGTCGCTAAGGCACGTTTGTTCGTGTTTGACATGGTAACACAGCTAGAACGCCCCTCGCGACCTGTTCGTACCGGACAACCTACGAGTCGAAGTTCCAGTCGCACAATTGAAGCAATTTCGCTTGCAAGCGCTTGAAACACGTTGTTTCAGCAAAACACCCGTCATCGCACGTTCCAGCGGCTGCTTCGGCCAAGTGCCTCGGTGGCATGTTGTGGGTTCGAGAGGAGAAGCGGTCTGAGTACTACTCCCAAACCACACGAGATCCTAAGCATCCTACTCATCAACCTCTTGCCTCAGTTCCAAAAGTCCCGAAGAAAGCAAAGGAGGTGTGGGCGCCATGGTCCTCGGGCGGGCGATGGGCTCCCAGCTGCGCAAGCTCATGGCCGGGCACCGAAAAGAGGGGAAGCTAAAGCTTCGAGTCCCCCTCAGCGTGTGGCGGTGATGAAGCTTAAGCAATGTTGCACTACCCCCCCCCCCCCCCCCCCCNNCCCGCCCCCCATAAACCCTAAACCCTAAACCCTAAACCCTAAACCCTAAACCCTAAACCCCAACCCCCCCCCCAGAGAACCCAATATCCCTTAGTTAAGGAATTTACCTTAAATTATCGGGGCCTTAATATTATGATTTAAGGTATATTCCTTAATATTATGATTTAAGGTATATTCCTTGGGTTCCTGAGACGAGGCCAAGGAGTGCGTGGCCCTCCCTGGTGCCTACAACGGCCTCGTGGCTCGCCTTGTGGCCATCCACGGGTTCAAAGGCCGGAGCCGTCCAAAAATTGGGTTTAGTGTTTAGGGTTTAGGGTTGAGGGTTTAGGGAACTTAACTCCGGCGATCGAAGTCTCTGGATCGATCCTTTGAAATTGGTAGTCAGATTTCAGACTAAAATAGACTAAAACTCCAAGATGGATGATTCTCGTCAGCTACTCCAACTCATGCTTCGGAACCTTGGCCACGACAAGGTCAGGCAATTCTCCGTTTGCTGCAGGAGCCTACTTCTCCGGCGGTGCCCTCTCCGCCAGCTCGGGAGTTCCAGACATCGGCCCCTGCCCCGGGAAACCAAATCTTCAAGCAAGGGCAAACTTCTGGGCTGTGAGGTTTGACTTCTTTGGACCAGTTCTCTTCCAGGAGCCACCGGAAGTCGGAAGCACATTACAGTACCACCACGGCCACCTGCCTTTGCAGGATTAAAGAGGTGGTTTCCGTCTCGGACCTGCCCTTCATCGCTGATGCCGACACTGGATTTGGCGAGGTCGGGCTGAGCACCTCGGCCCCAGGCAGGAAGCCTCTGAGCGACAGGCTGAGATGGTACGGAAGACCGTGGAGGAGTACTGCTGGGCCCGAGGCCCAGAGGCTCAGATGAGCGGAGGTCTCTGCAGTTCGCTACACGAGCCGAGGCGGGAGCTGCTGGACTTCACATCGAAGACCAGGCCTGGCCCTAGCATTGGGCAGAAAAGGGGCGACAAAAGCCCAAGAAAAGCCATCCCAGATGAAAAAAAAGCCTTTGGGACAAGAGAGGTCTTTCCCAAGAGATGTGGCCACCTCGACGGCAAGGCCTTGGTCCCAATTGCCGCTGCCCCAGCGTCCTTCGCCTGTCCCAGTCTTCCAACCCATCCCTCCATCGTCTGTCTCCGTGAAAGTCAGCTTTGTCCGGCAGCATGCCTTGATGATCGAACTTCTCATCGCATCTGAGTTTTGGGCCGTCTGTCCCTTCGTCTGTCTGATGCCCGTCGGTGCACCTGGAGCCAGTAGAAGCCGAGTGCTCTCGGGCGTCTAGAAAGACTCCACGGCCACAGCCCCTGGGAAGTCAGCAAAAAAATAAATGGATAGAAAATAGATAGGTCAGGTCATGAGGTTTTAAATTTTAAGCCCATGCGCACTCCCAGGATGTCTTCGTTGAGAAGGTCGAGCGAGCGGCAGAAGCTTCGTCCATTCCTCATCCCTTGAGACAACAGCAGATGAACAAGCAGACTTTGCCTCATGGGATTGGACACGTGGTCGTCGCTGTGCCATCTCCAAGTTGGGTGCTTTCCACCCCCGAGCCAAAACACTGCCCACACCCCCGGCCCTGGTACTACGGTTGATGATATAAATCCTGCATTGCCCATAATGGGAATATACCATAATTCCCATAGTTTAAGGGTCCTTAAGGTAATGCAGGATTTGTATCATCAACAGTAGTAAGATGATAATGCTTGGCTCCTGAGGCAGAGATGCTCAGACGGTGAATTCATAATTTGTGCGCGCACAGATGCGGCTGGGGTGCCGGATCCTTGGTGCATCCACATCTGGTGTGAACAGTTAGCGCATCTTGGTGTGTTTGTACCCACAACCATGTCCGTATGCCTTTCTGTCCAGTTGGCAACACCTCATCTTGGTCGTTGCAGGCCGGGCGAAGGCTTGCAGAAAGCCATCGAGCGAGCGGTTGCCTTGGGGTGTCTCTCGTTGGAGTCGCTTGCAGGAGTAGAGCTGAGCACGTGCAGAGCTACTCACTGACACTCCGAGGCCACGGCCTACGTCGCAGCCGGAGCTGACATGATCTTTCCGGAAGGTTTGCAATCAGAGGCCTCCTCTGGCTGAGCTTGAGGCATCTAGCCTTTCTTGAGCTTCAGAACGCTATGTATTGTGCTTTCAATCCTGGCGCACCCTGCTTCCTTCGGGTCCGTCGGGTGCAGGAGGATTTTCGCAGCTTCGCCGCGGCCATGAAATCATTGTGTGGCTCCTAGCCAAACGATGCAGTTGCCGGGCTCTTGTTTCTCCGTGCCTTGCAACGACCAAGACACAATACGTTCAAGCAATCCTCGAACCCAGAAGACTTGACATAGCATGCCGATCTCCTCAAAGCGAAAGAACGGACAAGAGCATACCAAGATAGAAAAGTCTTGTCCACCCGACTAGCCGAAACTGCAACATGATGCGAGCCAGCAAGATGTCGTATCTCTGAGGAAGGGACCGGCGCCAGACGGAGGCCCCTTCTTGCTGGCCAACATGACCGAGCGATCGCCTCAAGCGGCTGTGCACTTCCGGATGAAGCACTGCCTGGCAGCTTTAGATCGGAGAGTATCAGGCATAAACTGCGTCACCGCAAGGTTTGGGAAGACTCCCTACCTCACGCTGCAGCAATTCCAGGGGCTGGGCCGTCTTCTTAGGAGCCCCTTTTCTCTGCGCGCGCGCGTGCGCTTCTTTTTTGAGGGGCACCCGGGCATGCAGCTCGAGGTTACCACTGCGTGATCTACCCGGTGAGCACACTGAGGGCCGCCATGCCTTATCCTCAGAGCCTCAGTTTTAGGTTGTACCTATAGTCTCCACTGTTCCCGAAAGCATCGCGAAGGGTTCTTTCCGTGCGAAGCACTTTAGAGAAGTACATAGGATCAAGTACACAGAGTACTATGCAGGCAGAGTCAAGTGTACAGAGCATAGTACACAGACTATAGTATACACAGAGTATAGTACACAGAGTGAAGTACATCGAGTGAAGTGCAGCGAGTCAATTGCATAGTACATAGAGTGCATCGAGTCAAGTGCATAGTACACAGAGTGAAGTACATCAGAGTGAAGAACATCGAGTGAAGTGCATCGAGTCAAATGCATAGTACACAGAGTCAATTACATCGAGGCAAATACAGAGAGTGAAGTACATCGAGTCGA